TTCGGAACGACCTAATATATATATATATATATATATATATATATATATATATATATATATATATATAAAAGCAGTGGTATCAACGCAGAGTACTGTTTCAAGAAAGACGACGACGGTTTGTAGTAATAAATTTAGCTAATGTCTTCTGATGAGCATCTTGTGCCAGTAGCCTGTCAGAATCGGAAATTATCCTCGCAGTGAAAAAATTGGGCCTGGAAAGCGATTTTGTCTTGAGAGCTCTTAGTTTTAGTGAACCTCTCTAGTTTTGAAGTTGTAAAGGTCAGAAAAGTTTTGAAAACTCAATTTTGCTCTTCCTGTTAGCATCTTGAGAGCCATGGAAAAATCAAATTTTTTCCTTCTGAGGGCTAAGCTAGGAAGAGACACACTTTGTTGCGACTTGCAAGAGCTTTCATATAACCAAAATGGCAGAAATGCACCAACGAAGCAAAGATGCAATAGACAACAGAGGGAACACCCGGAAACACGGACAGCAGCCAAAGCGATAAGGCATCTACACAGCATATGGTAGAAACACCATTTACAAAAGTAGAAGGGAAAGGAGGCTACAAATAGAGTTGCGAATCCCAAGCCGGATAGGCATTGCACTATCCATTAAGGACTAATTGCTACGTCTAAACAAAGAATCAGCTTCCCAAACTGCTAAGAACATGTTAGCATTGCAAGAGCTACTGTTAACATGAGCGTACCAAGAATGACAAACCTATGCAAATGTAGAAATCGGAATGCCTGCGCGCAACATAAATGGAGCGGGATGTGCAGAAGACGAAACGATACAGCACATATTCAGCATGTGTCCAGTGGAGGACGAACCTCGTGACTGAGCGAGATGATGCGATGACAAAATTTATCTACGATGGAACCATGAAGAGATACAGTCTAAACACAGAGCCTGCGGTCTCTTAAGAAGATGGACAAGTGATAAGCAAAAACAAAGTGCTTATTCATCGAATACTCCGATAACAACAAAGGAACAGCTACGACATAACAAACCAGACATGATGATCTGGGATGGCAATGCGACAAGTTTTGTTAGTCGGTGGGTGGCATGACGATTACATGGTAAGTCCGGTTAACGGAGATCAAAGAAAAACGCATATGCCACAAATGGTTGCCAACCCAGAATATTATTTCTGGAGCAGTATGGATTAGTACTGTACTAATGGACTTGTTGCAAAAAAAACTACAATTGCCAAGTGGAGGTTGTATCCATTGTGCTGAGAACGGGAAAGAGTGCACCCCAAAGATCAGACAGGCATCACTAAGATGGAAATGGAGAGGAAAGCAAACAAGACCATTGAGAAAACTCTTAATTAGCAATAATGGATACTGATGAAATTATACGCTGCCATTTCTCTAACACGGAAGAAGAAAGCAACATTGAAATAGGACGCACTGGTGATGGAGACCGAGGAATTTTCGATAAGCAACTAAACAGTGCGTATTGTCAGCAAAAACGTGGATGTGCCTGAAACTACCGGTCGCTGTGTTCCGAGAACGACAATTGAACTCCTGCAAGGGGACAAGCGCTGCATAATCAAGTAAGCTCAAACAAATTGGTATGGCTATCATGTGCGTCATATATAGAAGCGCCCATATAGGCTGAATGTAGCACAATCAATGCAATGCAATGCAATCAAGGCAATGCCCAAACATCGCAAGCACAGACTATCTAGCTAACTAAGACTATGACATACGCCAGGCGTGAGACGATTTGGCAACCTCTTAAACAACACAGGACAGCTTGCATGTTGGCATCTTTATGAATCTATCTCAGCAAATACTAGCTTATTGTAGCTGTACGGACGTATACTTGTTATGTAGTTGCAAGCTAGTTGCGTGCTTTTTCAATGTTCACATTCCCTTTCCGGCAACTTTCTAAATTCATGTTCAGAAGTCCGGGTTTCAGTTTTCTAGCCAACTGCTTGAGCCCGAACTAGTAACGTGATGTTTCTTTTTCCCGGCGAGAATGAATTGCTTTCTTTGTTAGTACATCATTTCTGTTTGTAGATTTAGGTATACAATATGCGTCATTATTTGACTTGCAATCGTAATCACGTTGAATTACTAGCTGCACGACCCTGATTTCAGCGCTTCTATCCATTGGTGCTTTTGCCAGCTTATAACGCCTATTCAATTTTGCTCTAGTCAAATCTGCCAACAACACTTGCAGCATCGCCAATCGGGCGGTTGTCCGTTCCCTGCTTCTGTCAACGATCTTGCATATGTATAGGCAAGCCATTATTCAATCCCCAGTTTCGGAGTACGAAAACGAGTTTTTATATCTTTGTCCCTCTCAACAATGAGTCACATCATACTATCTGAGCGCAAAGCTTGTATTCTGATTGCGCTCTGTTCTCTAAGTTATTTTTTTTTTGCAGAACAGCCAGCTCGATGTCGCAATTCTGAAAGCGATTAAGGGAGGAACTTATTGGTACGGAATTGGTCAAATTGGTTGGGAGATTCTCTTGCGAAAGAACCCAGAGGTGTAGTGAAGCCAGAAACAGAAATTGTTTTCGATAGTTATTCCGTTTGTGGGCGCTAACAAACTGCACAATAAGAAGAGAATGTAGGAACAAATTATTAAAGATGACTGCTTTCAGTTCCATGTTCCATAGGAGAATCACGTAATCCGTTTCGCACGTCACAGGCGTGTTTGTGCACGATATGGATCGATTACGAAATATCTGACAAAGTTTTGACCGTTTTTGTCGAGCTTAACCTAACCTTAGACGCATATGTGTGGAATGTAAACGATAAAGATTTAGGATATGGGAGAAAAGAACTGCAAGTATTTGCGAGAATCTAAACTCAACGCCAAATAGCGTCTATGGAAGATTCGAGAAGGATCATTGAATACGGTATTGGTTCCGTATATCAGACCAATAGTAACACTTTGACACTCGAATGGGACATGATTCGATAAATTTGTACTCTGAACACGCTCTATTTTTTCGACCGTTTCTGCTTTCTCGATATGCTTCCAAGGAAATGTTCGAAACGAAGTGGCCAATCTAAACAGGCGGCATACGACTATATGCAGAATACGCTAACTTCGAAACTCTATTCCATATCTGCTTAGCGCCTATGTGGGCGAAGTCATGAGCCGTAAAAGCCGTTATTTTGCTGAGACGTGCATGCAAAGCGCAAATTTAGCAGTACAAGGCCATATTCGTTTTAATGCTGGGCCAAAACATGCGCTAGGTTACTTTATATACTTAGAGCCTAAAGTGACCTGAAAGTGCAACAGTGCTCACCTTCGGCATTTATAAGTACGATTTCTTCGTAAAACTGCTAATAACTTCGTCTACAAAGGAGCGTTGAATGCTGCATCAATGGTGGGCAGCTTGCTTGGATTTCACTTCGACTTCTAATTAACCCGTAAGTACAGTTCTGCAAAAGCAACAAGATACTTTGTATCTAATTTTTTGTATGTAAACCATCAAAACGTAAAGAATTACTCTTACTCAAAGGGTGATGCAGGCAAATGAGCAGACTATCAGATTTTTTCAACTTGAAAACGCATTGAAATCAGCTTTGCTACAACCTGCATTCAAGCGATTTCGGTTGCTTTTCAGCAAATACGAAAGCACTGGAGCTTACTCATCATTTCAGATAGCGTATAAGCATACAGGAACAATTCAATTTTAGGTCTAGTCAATATCCTGGCCAATGCAATATTCTTGGACCGCATTCGATTTTTAGACTAACTTGTTTGCGACGATGTGTGTCCGAAATAGATTGAAAGCGTTTTGTGCCTACAATAGGCAGTCCGTGCACTATGCCTGTGGCTTTTTTCTTCTTCCAGTATCTAGGCATTCGTGGAAGCTGATCCGCAAATGCCGACTATAGCGCCGTAGAAGTCATCTCCAGCACTCACCAAAAAAAAAACTCATGATGCTGATATTTTAAGGATTGCATCACAAGGTCGACTATTTAGCAATTGTAACAATGTGATTCAAAAATAGATGAGGTTTGAAAAGCTCTTCTATTCCTCTTGTGGCAGTGATCAAACTGCGAACCAGCAAAACTCATATTTCTCTATATATGCATCCCACTTTTGATGGAGGATTGCTTTTCGCATGTACTCACTTGATTTCCTTAGCAGCAGGATAGAGCAAGCTTTTTTCTAGCATACTTTCAAAAAAATTTTTTGCAGTGTTTGGGAATAAAATTACTGTGATGCTAAATAAAGGCGTGTATGCGTCACATCCTGGGAATTTGGCTCATTTGTGAGAATGAAAGCGGAGTATTATCGTTTGAAAGTATAAAAAGTGTTCCTTGACCGAAACTTCAGTCGATTCTCATTTAGAAGACGTATGCCGCACATAGCCTTGGTCTCGGTGCCTGTTGCGCTCTCCTACCTGTCAGATTTGTTCCAAAGGCAGATGGTTGCTGACACGCAGGTAACATTCGCAAACTTCCATTTTCCGTTCCCGCGAGAATACCTGGCAAACGCAATACTACAATGTGATGGCGCACAACCTTCTCCGCATTTTACGCATCAAAGGGTTATAAGATATTAGCGCATCTCTAGTTATATCATAAAATGCCATTTTCAGCTAGGTAACATGTATTTTGTGAAGGATTGCAGCATCATGTGGCATAGAATTAAAAAAAAGAAACGCAACTATTTTAGTGATTTACAGTACTCCAAATTCGGCTCAACAACTTTTGCTGCACCCTATAGTTCTTATCTTACAGCTCTTTCAATTCTTTGCATCTACAAACCCTGGTATCGTCTTGCACAGAAACCCTCCGCAGATAAGGAAGGCAGCTTTGGAATCATTCCTACCCTTAAGATAGTACGAATCTTTTCTCTAAAAACCACTTCGATCAAACGCCCTTCCCTTATAAGGTGGTGTATGGTCTGGGTCAAATGGTCTGTTCAGAACAGCTTATAGTTGATTTATACAAGTGAGCGAGTCTGCTCGCGTCGCTTGCACTGCACAATTCACATATTTAGATTGCAGATAACCTAGCTACTCCAGCTTAATCCGCTGACAAACACTGATAATGCCCTCTGCGTGATAATGCACGTAATTCAGTTCGAAACCAACAAGAAGATGGCTCAAGGAGAAAGCATCTATCTCATTCTCTGCGTAGCTATGCCATATTCGTTTTCAGAACCAATAATGAATGTATTGAGAATTTTTTTGTAGCAGCAAAAAGTCATATGCTGTTATGTTTTTGAGTTCATTAAGCGTGGCCTGTTGAATGCATTTGACAACATGATATTTAGTTTAAATAAAGCAGCAAATCTTGAAGCAAGGTATTCGAAAACTTCATCCAAATTTGACAAAAAATGGGCACAATTCGCTTCTCGGCAAAGTATGGGTATAAGCCCCTGCAGGACGAAGGCGGTCGGTTCGATGTGCGACGTGGCTGTGACGCAGCAGTGTCGCAGCCGCGTTGCACATCGAGCCGACCGCCTTCGTCTTGCAGGAGCTTATATATACAAAAACAGCTACGAGACGATGATTGATGTAAAATCTCCTAATTTCGTAAGATGCCGTTTCCCGGGGCTCCAAAGGTGCTAGTCACATTGATCACGATCTTGTCAAACGTCCCTCTCTACTTGCGAAATTCGTATCAATTTGTAGCAGACAACTCTCACATTCATTACATAAATTCAAAAAATACTTGTCACAACGTCCAAGTGGCTCGCGATGTAGTCAAAACTTGTATGCGTTCCGTTCAAAATTTTTTACTTACCAAACTCACTGTGGACTTACTACAGGCTGAGAACGAAACTCAAAAAAGCAGTTTTCAGAAGGCTAACCATATAAAGACATAATTGCCATTTATTATCGATAAAGATTTTTAAGAATTAATATGCAAGAGTAGAGGTTTGGGACCTGCCTTTCTACAAAGAAGATCTTGGCTAAGCTACATTTGTTGAAGAATTACCCTATTTTCCGGCTTATAAGCCGTCTTTCGTCGCGAGCGGGCTAATGTGCGAAGACGGTTGTACAAGCAAAGTTGCGCGAAGTTGTACAAGCAGACGATTAATCTTTTTAACTAGTAGCTCGAAGATAACTTCCTGCTTTTGCTCCTTATTGCAAAAGCATTGAAAGCACCGTTGAAAAGTAGCAGCAGTATCATTATAATCGAAGATAGCTCGCTTTAACATTAGTACAATTCAAAGAGAACTAAAGAAAGCGCCGCCAACTCCATTGTATCCTTGAGAAAAGAAAATACGACCCGAACACCCGCAATATCGTCGGAATCTCTGAAAGGAGTAAAGAAATACTTTAAGGCATTAGCATGGGCAGCGAGGAGTACCAAATTTGCTTTGTTTGTTCAAAAACATTGTTTTCAGGGCGTTTTCGTGCCATTGTACGCTCCGATGAGTGCGGCTTATAAGGAGCGGATTATAAGCTGGGGAACGGCACATATATTGTCAAAGCGAACTATTACGGGACAGTTTAATAATATTAGGTTGACGCGAAAGGTTTTGCGTAAAACAAACGAAATTCTATGATTCAAAGAGTAGACCTAGATTGATGGCTCACTCTCACAATAATAGATAAAACTTTCCGCTCCTTAACAGATGTTCAAGCGTAACGCTATATAATTTAGCCACTAAGAACAAAGCTTTCAAAAATGGTGCATCAAATTCTGCGATCTTGAGTTTGGTGCTAGAAAATCGTCGAGAGGGCTAGCTAGCCCAATAAACCTATAAAATGTTCCTACATACCAAAAGCCCATATTTTTATTGCAGCAGGCTTCAAGGTTCTATGGTAATGCAAAACAAATTTTTGAAAAGAGTATTTCCAGGAAAAATTCCCTTATCATAATACCTTTTTTCAGCAGAAATATTGTTTGACCCTCCAAAAAACGTCATAGTGTTCTAATTAGGCACTAGGGCCAAATTCTAGTTCCAAACTGTTTTTTTTTGTGAAAAAGCTATAGCAATAAGGGGATTTTCCTGTAAAATGACATTTTTCCAGTTTTTTGACTTTGCTTTTTCAAACGAATTTAAAGCCTGCCAAAATAACATATGGACATTTGATGCGTAAGGTTTTATAGATTTTTTGGGCTAACTAGCTGCACTTCGCGATTTTCTAGCATCAGACTCAAAAACGCAATTTGAAGTGCTATTTTTAAAAACTTCGTTTTCGTGGCCAAGTTATAAAATGTTAAGCATAAACATCCGTTAAATCTATAAATTGTCCCTACATACCAAAAGCCCATATGTTATGGAGCGCAAGGCTTCCTCTATTTTTGTGACATGAACCATCAATTTAGATTTACTCTACGAAAAGTTTTTGATCGTTGAAATTACGCAAGAACTGTAACGCCAACTAATATAAATTCTGACTTTCTCACCTTGTCCAATGGGAACTGACATCGCAAACCATATTATGAGAAATCCGCCGATGGGTGTACCAAGTGTGACAGCGGGAACTGAAACCTAAATGCAGCAATAACTAACAGCGGTAGCTAACTGCGAACATCCATTTGCAAAACTTACCTGGATGCAGAGTAAAAACAGGTATCGTCTTTGCATAAGTCGTGTTTTTCGCGACATGTGATTTGTTTGTCTGAGAAAGTAGTATGATAATGACAGCGTACAAAGCACAAGAATAGCTCCAAAAAAGTCAATTGTGACTCCGATAATGAAAGTTTGATAGAAATGATCCCGACTCAAAATTAGTAGGCGAGGTTCATTAACCACTGCTCTTGCACAGGAGTACTCCTGCAAAAAAACTGGATGTTTTGCATGAAGACGCTATTTTCGAAACTACTGAATGTAGAAGCAAAAGATAGTAACCTGTAAGACCTTCTCTCTGGCTTGTACTTGATCAGGCACAAAGTCTATAAACGCTACGAAACTAGGAGCACAGCAGGTGATAAGCACAGCTGCGTGTATCCACGGGCCTCAAATCAGATTAGATTAGGCAAACAGTAAAAAAAAGATCAATACAGCCTTTTTGAAAGAAAAATGAGCCTTTTTTCTATTCAATGTTTACCTCCTAAAAACCTTTTGAAGACATGGTTTTGAGGGATCACCACATAGCATCGGTATATAAACAAATTTATGATGGTAGATAGCAATAGTACGAGAAAAAATGCGAATATACGAATACCGGTCACCGTAGATAAAGATATCCACCTTGCTATGTATGAGTCCGCGTAAGCCATCATGGTAGGAAAGAGCATGACAGGCATGAGAAGCGTCGTGTACACAAAGTCAAAAGCCGTGGAGAATAGTTGGTAAGTGAGCAGCCACCATTTATATGAAGCCATTTGCTTTGTAGATTTTTTCACAATGCAGAATATAGCATATGCGTTTATTAGCGGAGTTATCGCTGACAAAAACATTAGAAAGCTTCGATATGCAACTGGGTGAGGGTCTAAATCACCACATTCTATCATCTTGGGTTATATGCAGCAAGCAAGAGTGATGCTGACAAGATTGGCTAACAAAACACCTGTCTAATAAGCAATCCTATTTCCGATATCCGCTTTCAATCTGCAACTTGACTTTCAAGCGCAATTGCAATGTACAAATGGGTATTGAATGTGGTCTAGTTTATTTAGAGGTCAATATCTTGCGCTGGCTACAGCATTGCTGCAAACAATGGCAGTGTGTTTTCTATAGCCGTCTAAACGCGCGCGAAGCAATAAGAACGGCATTCATAAAAATATCATTTAAAATTTATTTATTTATGCATTTCAATGCACTCAAAGGTGCGCCAAAAGCACATTATAGCATTGAGTTGTCGCCATTGCAGGGACATATAATAGACGACTAAACTTTCGTTTAGTGCGAGCAGAGTTGATGTTAGTGCGTAGGGGCCTAAGACTCCAAATCGTCAAAAAAAATTAGAGGATATACTACGATCGGGCATGATGAAGAAGAAAAGACCGGCAAATTTCAATGATAACTTCACGGTAGTGAGATCATTGCAAAGTGGTAATCCGGTGCACAGCATACAACTAAGTCCACTGTCGCATTTCCAGCAAACACAAAAACTTCATCTCTCAAAGTACACCTACCGTAAGCTTACCAAAGAGGCGGGCCAAGTGGAATGGATATAAATTCCATAGTCAGCATCTTTTTGAATTCAACAAGCCCCTCAGTATCATGTGTTTCGTAACGTTTGAGCGACACTTCAAACAATAACTTCCTTTCAATACCAAAAGAATCAAGACCTTGGCTCAGGCCAAAGGATACCCTATTCTTATCTATTTTAGAATTTACATCATATCTTTTCAACAATGGTCAAATCAAAAGTGTTGTCATAATTTCGACTCCGCGCTTTTTACCGTGAAGTTTTTAATCCATGGACCACCAAATCATGAAGGCAAAATACGTTCAACCAATGTTGCATCTATATTGCGTCAACAATTGACATAAAAATTGAGGCAGAACTATTTCAGAGAAGAGAAATTGGGGCCATCAAAACCGTGGCCAAGCTGCCTGAGCTTTTGTTGCCTTATGCTTGAACTTAATTCACCTTCACCGTCGGAAACACCGCCTCGTCGTAGTAAGATAATACAGGCTTGGAACATGTTTTTGCCATAATAAAATATTGGTTTCGAACACTACTTCTGGGAAAGTTGGTTTCTAAAGGTCGTTATATCACATTAAGACTCATCATAAAATCCCGTCACACTTTATGTATAGGTGTGACCAAAGAAAAGTACGTACAGACCTCAAAGAAGGAACTCCAGGATTCCAGACAGTGGACCACATATATAGCGTTCTTCTGGCCATCATTTTATCGCCCGAGCCCCAAACTATAGAAGCAAGACACTTGAGGGATGTGGATTTGCTCTCGATATCCAAAAATGAATAGAAAAGAAGAATGCATTGCCGTCATAAACGAGCTGGCACCCTTCCAGACCCTTTATGGATTTCTACTTCTAGGGTTCGAATCAAGCGCGGAGAGTGATTAACGTAACAGTAGCCTTATCAATAGCGGCGCAGCTTTGCTCAGTGGTTGCTTCCTCTCATCCGCAAAGCTATAAGGTGAGCGCTAACTCTATCAGCGTTTTCGTTTGCTTTGGCCCTTAGGCTGTTAAGTGATACCTCTTTGCTGAAAACGAAGCATTTGGGAGGATGAATTGTGAACATCTTCGAATGGCTCTGAAAAAGGCGGAGACGCCGAAACGTACGCAAGCCAATAAATCTATCTACTATTCTAGGCCTACGCTACATCATATGATACAAGATTATACTGTGGCAAGCCTTTTTCAAAAACTTTTTACCAATGAAAAGTAGAAGACTGACTCGTTTGCAACGCACAGTTAACAACACGGCTCCAGAATTGGTGTGTATATGCTTATTTTGAAAGAACAAAATGCGAAATTATACGTAAAAAGTATGTGAATAAAGTGCATGCTCAATTTTTTCCAATTTTGGTTGGCAACTACCGCCCGCCCTGAGTTTGGAAACATCCAGTTCACATTTTCATAATTTTTACCTAAATCTGTTCAACATTTTGTTTGACGAATAGTAATTTGACGAATTTTGGTTTGAAAGTTCGTCCTCTTTTTGCTTTTTACCCAAAATAGCAACGAGGTCGGTGTCGGAGTGCGCGCTCCACCTGAAACGGGTCACGCGGTTGCCGCGATCAAGAATAGGATCAAACAATTTGAAGGCGGCAAAAGCGAAATTGTTTTTTGGGTTTCATTAGCCACTCTCATGCCGGATCCTCTTGATTAGGTGGAAACAAATTGTTAGGGAGAGTTGTTTGGTTTGGCAGCGAAAACTGTGATGCCAAAGCAAATACTTTAATTTAACGAAGAAACCGAAAGGCTTAGAAACCATGCCATTTCAACATACCATTGGTTCTGTTTGCATTCATAACTACATCACCCTCTTGTTCTCTATTTTTTTTGTGCCACAGTAAACAATGTTATGGGTCATAAAATGACCGCAACAGCTATCCATGTTTTAGGCGCCGATATCTCAGTCTGGATAACTTCAAAAAATACGATTAAGTATGCATAAGTAGGCACTTTCTATTATAAACAATAGCTAAATTTTGAAAGAAGTGCCATTGATACGCGCTTGAATTCTGGCCAGAAAAGTGGATGCAATGAAATTCTGAATTTGGATGCGTTTATTTGAAGCTCAATAACTTTATAACAGATGAGGATGAAAGCCCGTTTCAAAGAGCAGATGGAGCATGAAAGCTGCTCCTCGATGGTACACTACATCTGTTTTAAAGAAGAAGTATTGAAGGAAAAAGTTGCTGGAAAAGGCTTAGAAAATCGGCCATTATTTTTGCATCAACCTTATATATTTGATTTCTTCATAAAATTTTCCTAAAACTTTTTTGGGAAATTACGCGGTTTGTTGGGGAGAAGAACTCACTCTTCTTCGGAGCAACTGCTCGAGTGCTTAAAAAGAATATCAGCTGTCGCGCCAGGCATTCTTCTCCATGTTTGGAGGTTGTTCAAATTGATTTTACACTTTCCAGTTCTAAACATTTGTAAAAAAAATTCCAGCATCCCCGAAACTTGAAGCCATCACGAAAGAAGGATGTACTGCGCCGAAATAAGATCACTGATGCGATGTGCAGCTTCAAAGAAGTATATGAAACCGGAAGTTTTTGTATTTGAATGTCGAACTCGCCGCAGAGAAAACCATTTGATAACAGTGCGAATGTAAGAACTAGTCGTAAATTTGATCGTAATTTTTATTTGTGATTTTTTGTGTTGTTTCTTATTTGATTAACTTTTTTGTTTTCGTAAATTTTTTGTATTGTTTCTTACTAATAAACTATATATTTTCTGCAGTCGCACCTCAGCGCGATGAGGTGCGAGGCTGCTGCGAAAATCTGTCTGCGAGAGGATGCGGACGACGAGAACGCTTGCGGTAGCTCAGTCGTGACGCTGGTGCCAGCTCTGGCGGCTGGCCGCGGCACAAGGCGCTGCCTGGATAACACTTGCACGCGACCAAGTTGTGTCTCATTAATGGTTTCTGTTGTTTATGTTTTACGTGTGGGATAAAGTCTCATAGGCCTTTCATTGTCTTATCTCTCGTTGTCTTTGCAAGTCTGTCTGCTCAATGTGTTTGTTGTCATGCAGCTGTTCTTTTCAGGTGTCTTCTTTTTTATAATCTCAGTCTTTTTGTCATCTTCTGACGAAGAATCACTGCCTGTTGATGTTGTCATTGGTCCTTGGCAGATTTTGCTGAGCCTTTACTAGTGTTCAATGCTTTCGTAGTTGAATCGTCGCTGTCTGTAGTAGATATTATTCCAGCTATGTTTTGATCTTTGATCCAGTTTTCTACTGTTGCGACTCGTTCACGAATGCATCCATTACGCTAGTCCAGGGTAGTACTTCCTTAGCGGCTTGGCATTTCTTATGAGAGTGCGGACCTTGTCCTTGATTTTTACTACAAATTTTTCACTTATGTGGTTAATTCTAAAAACTTCGACTCCGTGCGTGATTTTTGCAGCGCCCTCTATACATGTCGCGTGGCGACAAAGACCTTGTTCAAACTGAAGCTTTTCACTTCTCTTGCTGTGGTGTGTGGAATAATACTTGAGAGCCAGATACGTTTCCTACCAGAAACCATCTTGATTAAAGGATCGATAGTCCACGCTTTCGCGGTTTGTAATCATACTTGAAAACAAGATCAAGGGAGCTCTTTCCCTTTTGCTCTACGAGAGATTTGCGTCCTCTCTGAGCTAGCCTAGAGAAACCTGCGTTACGATTTGACAGATGTACCGCCCCAGTCAAACTCCCGCCTGACACTGTCTTCGGCGAGAGTCGCAATGCCACCAGGTGCCTTTGCTTATTATTATGTTGTCCGCAAAATAATGTCGCATCGTGTTTTATCATGCTATATCGCAGCAGGGTCAGGGCCCGGCACGAGGTTGGCAAATGACAAGCTGGAAATCATTTTTGGTAAAAAAAGCAAAGGGGAAATCGTTCTTGCGGGATCCGGGGCTAAGCCCAAAAAAATTGATATTGCCTCAACAGGCGAACACTGGAATTCGCACGCGTCAAACCGCGCCGTCGCTAATTGCCGCACGCGCGACGTCGCTCAAACGATGCTATTTGTATTAGGTTGTAAAGAAAGTTCCCGGGCACTTTTGGAAATTTCATTTTCAAACGCAATTTTCGGCGCTCGGTCGGAATTTGACACCAAGTTTTTTATACTGTTCAGTAGAGGGAAGGCTGAGGTTTCCCACACGCCTTTTGACTTCTATCAATGTCAAGACGTATTTGATCTGCGCGTCAAAAAGAGAAATCTTTCCAATCACGAAAATTTAACAATTTTTCTT